CGATCCGTCAGGCACTTCTCTGTCATCATGCTCTCAAAGACAGCTTCATGCATTTTTTTCTGCATGACCTACATGCTAGTAATAGATAACAATTTTTGTAGTTATTAAAGGGCCTGATTGCAGTCGGCTTGTCAGGAGGTAAACCAGAACATTTAAGTAGCCTATTTTATCTTTTTATCCATATTTTTTTTCCTTATTTAGTATCTTTTTAGTGAGCTTTCTTAAGCATGTGAACAGCTGAGCGATGAAAGACTTTGAATCATTTTTATTGTTTTTATTAATCTAAACATAGGACGTAGACTTCTTACTTCTGAAAAAGAATTTTATTTCGTTAGCATCATGGCAATGATATTATCTAAAATACTAATTCATGAAAATGATCACATGAATTTAATACTTTTTTAAAAAATCCTACACTGATAGGTAAAAATTCTGATACATTCTGATCATCACTTCCCCTAGATATTGATCCAAATTAATCACAATATAATCCTTCTGATTAAGTCTTCCTACAGGCCATTTTTACAGTTAAATTTAATCACGAAATCAGCCTTATGCATCATATCCTTAAAGTCTGTCATCGCAGTTACGAACTCTAGACTTTCACTTCTTGGTAGGAGCATCTAATACTATCATTGAGTAGTTTTCTTGTACTATTTCATTCAGAAAAAAACGCAGGCAATGAAGGCATGTTTACTGTAGATTGAGTAATACTTTTTTCTCTTCTCTTTCCTCTTCTTGTTGGTTCCTCGTTTCTTCTCTCTTTTTCTTTCTATTTCTGTTCTTCTCTTTATCTTTCTTCTCTCTATTTCTGTCTACTACTGGTCTCCTTTTATCTTTCGTTATTCTGTTTTTGTCTATTCCTGTTCTCTAATTTCCCTTTCTACCTTTTCCTTCTTCTATGTTACTATTTAACTTCTTCTTTTACTTTTCTGTCTCCTTGTCTCTCTACTCTCTCTCTCTCTACTCTCTCTCTTTCTCTTCTCTCTCTCTCTCTCCCTCTCTCTCTCTCTCTCTCTCTCTCTCTCTCTCTCTCTCTCTCTCTCTCTCTCTCTCTCTCTCTCTCTCTCTCTCTCTCTCTCTCTCTCTCTCTCTCTCTTCTCTCTCTCTCATTTCTCTCTCTCTCTTCATTCTCTCTCTCTTTCTCTCTATCATTCTCTCTCTCTCTCTCATTCTCTCTCTCTCTCATCTCTCTCTCGCTCTCTCTCTCTCATCTTCTCGCATTCTATCTCTCTTTCTCTCTCTCCCTCTCTTCTCTCTCTCCTCTCTCTCCTCTCTCTTCCTCCCTCTCTCTTTGTGCTGCTGCTCCTGCTCCTCGCGCTGTCCCCCCCGCAGGAGCTGCCCAAGTGGAACCCCTACTTCGCCAATGCTCGCTCGCTTTCACCCAGTAAGTATGACGTCACTGCCACGTCACTAAGGCGAGGCATGCGACGAAGTTTACTTATGTGCACACTCAATATGTATATGCGTGTGCATTACACAATACACAACACACCCTAACACACCTATCACACATCACCCATACACAATACATACAACCATATTATATATTATATACATATATATATGAGTACAACTATAATATTATATGGATATAATTATATAAATAGTAATATATATAACCTATATATACATACTAAGATACCCTTATATAATATATATATATATATAATAATATACTATATATATATATTAAATTATATTATCATAAATATATTGTATTACAAGATATAATATTATTATAAATAGTATATTATAATATATATATACAATATATATATGTATGTATATATATGTAGATTAATACATAATATTGAAATACACTAATGATAAAATGACATAATAATTAATATATATGGATTATACCTAAATATATAATTATATAATTTATTATTATATATATATATTAAATATATATAAGTTATACCAAATATATAATTATATATATCATATATATATATATAAAATATATATATTATTATATGTTTTGTGTGTGTGTGTGTGTGATACAAATAATCTGTGTGTGTGTGATAATTGTGTGTGTGTGTGTGTTGGGTGTGTGGATAGAATACTCTGTTTGTGTGTGTGTGTGTGTGTGTGATAAACTAATGAATAGCACTGATGTCTCGTGTGCTGTGCGTGGCGTGAGTGATGATGTGCTCGTGTTTGTTGTTAGTGTGTGTGTGTAGTGTTCGAAGTTAACGAACATTACTAAAATGCAATCACATATAATTAACTGTGTGTGTGTGTGTAGTGTCTGTGTCTAGTTCGATTGTGTGTGTGTGTGAGTCAATGTGTGTGTGTGTGTTAATATGTGTGTGTGTGATGTGTGATTGTGTGTGTATGTAGTGTGGCTGTAGTTGTTGTAAATGATGTGTGCTCGTTGTATGTGTGGTGGTAGTTGTCGTGTAGTGTGTGCTCGTGCATCGTTTGAATACACTATCAGTTAATATCACTATTGTATATATATTTATATAATGTATATAATATAATAATAATACTATATATAGCGTATATATATTATTAATAATATTTAGTATATAATAAAAACATATATATATTGAATATGTATATATGTATATGTACTAGTACTAGTGTAGAATTAATAACTCACAGGACTACAATTATTATAGTATACTATACTATAGATACCAATAAATATATATACAATATATATATATGTAAATCTAATCTAAAATAATATAATATATATTAATATAGTATAGCTATAATATGTGTGTGTGAATGAATTATAATTGCTAATATATGTTAACTAATATATATATAATAATATATTTACATTAGATATATATATATATCTTATGATGGATCATTTAATATAGATTAGATCATATAATAAATTAATATAATAAAATGTATATATATATGTCAATTATTATATATATATTATAGTATAAGTAAGATTATAATATAATATAATTATAGTGTTAATTAATATAATATAGCTAATTATTATATAGTACATCACGTTATATTATATATACGTATATTAAGAACTATATATAACATAAATAAAGAATACTACTTAGATAATATATATATTATAATAGTATAAAGGCTTATATATATATACTATAGGTAATATATCTAAGTACTATAGTATATATATAGTATATATTTTTACTAGTTATTATACATATAATAATAATATAATACTCTCTCATGCATTAAACTATATGCTTAGGTATAACTTAGTATCGAAATAGAATATTAATAGTAAATAATATATAATAATATATAATAAATAACTAAAAAATATAAATATACAAAAAATAATAAACAAATACTAATAATATATATATATAAATATTATAAAGTATATAATATAAAAATATAAATATATAATTAAATATATATATAATATAAATATATGATAATCACAATAATAATATATATATAAATATAAATATAAATATAAATAATAAAATTATAAATAAATATATATATAAATATATAAATATAGATATTATATATAGTGACTTCATATTACTACTTATATATATGTTGTCTCATATAGCAACCTCATATATAATGTATATATCTCATATATATATATAACCAAACTATACTCTCTATAGTACTCATATACAAATAAGCTATATAAGTATATATATACATATGTATAAATATATAATATATACATATATATGTATATATTTAATATAATATAAAGTATACATCATATATATAATATATATAAATATATACTATTATATACTTATAATGTATATAAGTTATAAGTATTGAGTACAGTATAGTATATATATATTTATATTATTATATACTTATATATACATATTAACCAATATATACTATCATATAGGCAACGGATTATATATATATATATATTTATATGTTTAGACACACACACATCACATACACATCACACACCTCATACTGCGCACACTAACAGATAGTTTGGACGTTATACTCGCAATTAAAAAAACTCTAACCAGCATATTATAAAAAGCTTACTATAGTGAGTATGTAATTAAATTAGATATATGTATACTATAGGTATATAATAATATATTATATACTAACTATTATAATTATCATATATATATATATATATACTATATATATACTAGTAATATAATAATATACTCTTAATGCATGTATGTATGTCTGTGTGTGTTTGTGTGTGTGTGTGTGTAGTGTGTGTTGTGTGTGTGTGTGTGTGTGTGTGTGTGTGTGTGTGTGTGTGTGTGTGTGTGTGTATGTGTGTGTGTGTGTGTGTGTGTGTGTGTGTGTGTGTGTGTGTGTGTGTGTGTGTGTGTATTTACACGCACACATACAGAAATATATTTGCAAACATATGTAAGTATTTATATAATATTTACATCATACAGATACATTATCTATCCATCCATTAAAATTATATTGTAAAAATAATGAGAATACCATAAACCCCATTCTCCCGCAACTTAAATACCAAACACACTAACTTCAAAATGAATCTGACCTTTAATTCCAAGGTCACCGCAATAACTAATTCCTTCGTATGCTACAGGTGGTAAGAGTGAGCTTGGCGTGGAAGTGTTATGGAGAAAGATGTGTATGATGTTGAGAATAAAAAAAAAAAAAAAAAAAAAAAAAAAAAAAGAATATTGAAAATCTTTATTTGCAGAATTATTTGTAATTCTTAGTGGAGTGTGTATCTGGGTGTGTTTGGATGTTTGAGGAAGAAGCCATTTGGGACATCGAAGTGTGAGCAAGGGTTTTAAGGTGTTAGTGAATTTTAAATTTTAAAAAGAAAATAGAAATATTACTAGAAAAAAGGGGGAAATGTATAAAAATGAGGAAGGGAAAAAATAAAGTAGAGAGAGAAGCGGAAAATGATGATGATGACTATAAATCAAACATAAAAATAGAAAACAAAGCAAAAAAAAAAAAAAACCCTCCCTCCCTAATACACTCCCCCAACCCCCAACCCCCCCTTCCCCCACCTTAAACCCCCCTCCCCTCTCCTGCAGAAC